TTATATCCCCCATTATAATTTCTTATATGTTTATTTTGATTAGGGATGAATCCACCTGTTCTCCCCTAGCTGTGGGTTAATTAGTAAGAGTTGTATTATTCGAGAATTATTATCTCTACAAAGAAAAATTACAATCCAAAAATATTTTCTGGTTTTAAATAATCGGCAAAGGGTTGAAAAGCCGTAAAAAATGATACACTCGGTCAATTTGTTCCTTGATTGTCCTTATCCTCATTCCTTCTTTCTAAAGTTTTCTCATTCTCTTTCAGTCTTTGTAACACTATGCGTCCTAGGGGCATTATTGCCTTGCTTGGGGTGAAATGATTCGAAACACTTGAATCTTACAAAGAGTAAATCTCTCTCTCTCTCTCTCTCTCTCTCTCTCTCTCTCTCTCTCTAATAGAGTAGTAAGGAGTGACTATACTGTCATTATAATCAAATCTTGACATTACCTAGTGATCACACACACACACACACTCACACAAACACACACACAAGCACGCACACACACATACACACACACACACATATATATATATTTATATATATATATATATATATATATATATATATATATATGTATGTATGTATGTATGTATTGTTGTTGTAACCTAAGAAGGGTTACTGAATAAGGAATAACTAAAACGGATGTTGGAAGTGAAAATATGTTTTATATATATATATATATATATATATATATGTGTGTGTGTGTGTGTGTGTGTGTGTGTGTGTGTGTGTGTGTGTGTGTGTAAACGTTTTTGTTTGAGCTTAAGAGAGATTGGTCACAGTTCTCCGTAAATTGTGTTTCATGGGATCTCCAACTGATGTTCTGGATTTTTCAAAGTAGATTTGTATATGTTCCATCCAGTCGTCTTTCAAGACGAACAGATAATATCCAAGTTTCGAATCCAGACAGTAGGATTAATGTCCCTAATGTGTGTGATCACGTCTCTCCACAACATTACATCCTTAGTACCTCTTTCCAATGTTTGCTTTTACCCTCCATCCTACTCTGTGTTCGGTCAGGTATTTACATATACTAGTTCGGTAGATTACTCGATGTTTCTATATAGTTTTCAATGTGCCCTCTGAGTATCATATTCTCCAAGCCCTAATTCCTTATTACGTGTCCCAAACTGTTTCTTTCTGGTTCGAAGTGTAAAAGAGCATTTTTGTTTTTATTTTCTTTAAAACATCCACGTTGCTTACATTTTCCGGATATGTTATTCACATCAATTTTCTGTAGCACCACATCTAACGGGTCACCTCTTCATGTTTGAAGAATTTGTCTAACGTTCATTGCCATAAAAGAGGATTGATATCAAATACCATTCGAGAAATCGTTTTTGGGTTTTTTTTTCTTAATACTTCATTTAGCTTTGTTCGGTCCTGCATTGCTCTCCCCGGGTCCCCAATATTCAATCCTGAGTCCCGAGTTATAGTGTCTGGGAAAGTCAATTTTCGTGAGAAGACACTTCCAGAAGGATGACATAGGCGTAAGGATAAGACGATTTCCCTGTCCGTTCGGTGGCAATGGCCGGCTAACACTAGTCGTTTTTGTTTGAGCTTAAAAGAGATTGGTCTAAGTGTTGCCTGGGATCTCCAACTAATGTTCTGGATTTTTCTAAGTAGATTTGTATATGTTCCATCCAGTCGTCTTTCAAGACGTACAGATAATGTCCAAGTTTCTGATCCATAGGGTAGGACTGGTTCACTCAATGTTCGAAAGGTTTGAACTTTTAAAGGGGGTGTAAGTCTCAAGTGCCAAATCATGTGAAATCTGTTACACGCATCCTATGCAAGAAGATGTTAAAGAAAGAATACCAAATACAAATGATTGGATAGAACCAAATTCGAAACCAGAAATTTCTTGCCCAAAGTCCTGTATTGCTGTCTCCAGATTTCATGAGTCCTGATCTATGATTTCTGGGAAAGTCAATTTTCGTGAGAAGACAAATCCAGAAGGATGACATAGGCGTAAGGATGGGATGATTTCCCTGTCCGCTCGGTGGCAGTGGCCGGGAAAATGTAATCGTTTTTGTTTGAGCTTAAGATAGATTGGTCTCAGTTCTCCGTAAATTGTGTTGCATGGGATCGCCAACTGGTGTTCTTGATTTTTCTAATTAGATTTGTAGATGCTCCATCGAGTCGTCTTTGAAGACGAACAGATAATGTCCAAGTTTCTGATCCAATACAAGGAGCTTAAAGTGGAAATATAAAAAATGTGGGATATAAAGACTGTTAGACATTTTCATGACGGTCGTCCTCGAGTATTGAATCCAGAGGTTGGCAGTGAATATTTCGGAGACAGTAGGAAAGCGTAGTGCAGGTTCGCAGTGGATATCGCAGCAAAGTGTAGTTCATCCTTCTCCTGGTCGCCTTTGGTCCTTCCGGTAGAGGAAACAAGATGGCCGCCTTTATACACGACGAATACAGTGTTGTGCGGCTTCTGATTGGTCAACCTTCTATTGGTCGACTATAAAGGGAAATAAGTCATTCT